AGTCAACAGACTTCATTTATGTGTGTTCTGTAAGCTGGTATTTCTAATCAGAGTATGAGCATGCCTCTTGCATGGGGTACTTCCCAAACCTGAAGGAACTCTATTATTTTGAAAAGAAATCACATTAAAAAGTTTACTCCTTTAAAATTTTTTTAAAATTTATTAATGTATTTTGTTTTGGAACAAAAGACTTCTTCTAAAACTCTTCTATACCACTATACAGCAGATCACCCCTCCAAAAAAAAAGTTTATTGATTATTTACAGCAAGGAGGAAGTTGTCCATGAACTTTGACAGTATTGCCATAAACTTATACCTCCTTTTCTCAATCAAATGTAATGACCTATACAGAATCACCTGCAATTGTCCTGACCCCAATTTCTACATAACCCTACCCTGCCAGGTATATGACTAGGTCTTAAAGATGAGCCTGCACTAACCTAGGAAGGCCAGGCTCTGCTCCTGCTGCCTCTAGAACATGAGTAGGGAAATGATGGCAGGCTCAAATAACAGCAGTCCTGCTGGAAGTTCCAGGAGATTTAATTACCACCTCTAAGCTGACCTATCCTTCCTCTCCTCCTACCCCTGTAACTTCAGAAGGCAACACCATCTTTCCAGTCCTTTGAGGTCCCGATCTAGGGGTCATCCTCAACTCTTCACTGTCTCTCACCCCCCCCCCCCCGATTATCCAATCGACTGCCAAGGATTGTCGATTTCACTTTTGTAACAGCTCTTCAATACCTCTTCCCCTTCCTCTGACAGCATCACCATCACTCAGGGACAGGCCTTGTCACCTCATGCCTAGATTATTGTAATAGCCTGGTAATGGTCTGCCTGTTTCAAGTCTCTCCCTGCTCTAATCCATCCTCCACTGAGCCACTAGAGTGATTTTTTTCTTTTCACAGGTCCAGCCATGTTATCCCCACAACACTCAATAAACTTCAATGGCTGGCTCCCTAGCACCTCCAGGATCAAATACAAAATGTTTTGTTTGACATTCAAAGTCCTTCATGACCTAGCCCCCTGCTACCTTTCCAGTCTTCTCATACCTTCTCACACCCTACAAGTTCTCTTTGATTTAGTGAAACTGGCTCCTTGATGTTCTATGAATGAGACACTCCATATCACTCAGCTTTGGGGATTTTCTCTGGTTGATATTCTCTTTCCCTCTTCATCTCCTCTTACTTTCTTCCCTGGCTTCCTTTAAGTCCCAATTAAAATCTCATCTTCTATAGGAAGGCTTTCCCAACCCCTTTTAATTCTTGTGCCTTCCTTCTCTTAATTATTTCCTGTTTATCCTATTTATGGCCTGTGTGTATAAATGTTTGCTTATTTTCTCCTGCATTAGATTTCAAACACCTTGAGGCCAGGGACTCTTAATAAATGCTTATTAACCAATCAACAGTTTTAGAACTAACAGTTACCTGAATAAGACCACTCCTCCTTTATCACAAACCAAGGAGACCCTTAGAGATGGTGGGTAGAGGGAAAGAAAGCCAAGTCTCCATTATTCTAGTGTTACCTGTCAGGGTCCCATGGCCACTAACTTTCCCATAACACAGGCATGCCAAAAACGCAAATGGAATAAGGCTCAGAAGGTACTGTCCAGGATGTAGCTATGGCTGACTCTACAATGATACAGGGTTATCTCTGTCTAGCCCTCTAGTGTAGTCTGTGCCTTAAGCTTTTTTTCCCCCTTTAATGTGTTGTCTTCCCACCGTGAGATTACAAGTACCTTGATGACAGGGTTGTCTTTCTTTTTTTGTGTTTGTATGGCCAGTGATTACACATGGGGCCTGGCAGAGGGTAAGTGCTTAACAAATGTTTATTGACAATAGACTAAGAGATTCAAAAGCACATCTTAACACAAAAGAGCTTTCCCAGAGACATACACAACACAGAGAATTATGGAGAGCCATGAAGAAAGTCATAAAGATGATCAGACTCCTCAGATCTGTGTTGTTCTGCCACAAAGAAGCTTCATCTGACACCAGTCTAAACACCAGCTCAGAGGACTAGACTCCTTTTACTTTTACTTTTTTCCTATAGGAAGCTTTAGCAAAAAGGAAGACAGGTGCCACCTAGGGCTATTGGTAACAGTCTCTGCCTTCTTGTACCATCCATCATTTGCCATGAATTCTTGATTATGGCAACACTTTTAGACAACAATCGAGTTAAATGAAGCTTCAGTACTCAGACCCAGCACAATAAGACTTCACTTTAAAAGGTGGGAGGCAAACTAGAAAGCCCAGAAGCAGGCGTGGGGAACCTTCGGTCTTGAGGCCATATGTGTTCCTCTTGGTCCTTAAGTGTGGTCCTTTGATTTCAAAGGGCCATAATTGAGGACCTAGAGAGCCACGTGTGGTAAGGGCCACACTCCAGGACCTAGAGGGCCACATGTGGCCTTGAGGCCGCAGTTTCCCCACCCCTGGTCCAGAGTATAAAAAAATATAGAAATCTTCCCATATCCAGTAAATTCTGGATTCTGAAGATAATATATAATTACACACTACATTTTTTAGCTTCTGAAATCACTTGTGTTTGGTTTATGAAAATCCCATTGCCTATGTAGGTGAGGTCTGAAATGTGAACTATCTTAATTACAAAAGATCAAATAGGCCTTGGAAAGTTAACCAATAGATGAAAAATGTGACTTTGCTTCAAACACTCGGCTAATTCAGAAATGGCCCCGCAGATTGCATGGCCAGAAATATTCAGTTCTGAGTGGGAAACAAGAGTGAGAAAATTCAATTGACTGGGAGCTTTGAGAGATGCTCCTATAACCCCCAGAAAATTGGGTGAAGAAAATAAGGTGTCTTTTATATCACTGAGATATAATTGTGCAAACATGTATATTGTGTCACAATATTTTGTACAAAATTAAACAAGGCAAGTCATGACACATACAGAGGGCAGGACTCCAAGTTTCAGACCCAATCTGCACATTAATTAAAACGGCTGTCTTTTGCTTTAATAATTAAAATATTTAAATTATTCTCCTCTCTGAAAAAACAAAAACAAAAACAACCCTCTGGGCTTAACAGTCTTGTCCTCCTTGTTTTAAAATTACTCTATACATCATGTCCAAATAATATTGGAAAAGGAGCTATCATGCTAATAAAATAATATCTGAAAAGAAATAGAGAAATCATGACAAAGTAGGTATAGCTACCCACTGCTCATATGTTTACTACCCACATATGGGTGGAAGATTAAATTACTTCTCTCTATTTGGGCCCTTCCCCAAATAGTATGAATGTTTGAGAAATCAATCTTTAAAACACACTTCACAAACAGCAATAATAATAATTATTACTGACATGATGTAACATTTGAATGTTTGCAAAATGCTTCATGTATATTATTTAATGTAAGCCTTACAACAATCCTGGGAGGGAGGCATGATAAGTATTGTTAACTCTATTATTTCAGATGAGGAGACTCAGGTTCAGAGAAACAAGGTGACTTGTTCATGGCCACAGAGAGAATGAGCTTAGGTCTTCCTGATGGTAGAGGAAAAGGCCTGGATTTGGACTCAGAAGAGCTGGGTTCAAATCCATCATTATCATCATAGCTAACATTTATATAGGCTTACTTTGTGTCAGGTACTGTGCTAAGCACTTTACAAATATTATCTCATTTCATCCTCACAACCCTGGGAGATGCTTTTACTATCCCCATTTTACAGAGGAGGCAAACAAAGATTAAGTAATTTGCCTAAGGTCACTTAGGGAATATCTGAGACAGTATTTGAATTCAGGTATTCCTGACTCCAGGCCCAGACCTCTATCTACCATGCCATCTAAGTTACTGACTGTGTAATACTGAGCAAGTTACTGAATTTCTCTGGGCCCAAATATCCTCATTTGTGAGATGAAGATATTAAGACTAGCTGGTCTCTAAGACTCTTTCTAGCTCCTAATCCTATCCTACCACTAGGCAATAATCTCTAAGATCCCATTTAGCTCTAAATCCATGATTTACTATTCTATACTTCATCTTGCCACTGGACCCAGATGGCTCTGGAGGACAGAGTTAGGCTGGTGGCTTTGCACAGCTCTCTCTCACTTAAATCCAATTCCCTTGCAAGTCATGACATCATTTTTCTGATGTCATGGTCCTCTTCAAGAATGAAGGACAAACAACTTTCTCTTAGAAGTTCGCTGCTAACAATTAGCTTTTCTTCCTCACATTCTTATTCCTCCCCACTACCATCCCTGCCCCCCTGCAGAATGTTGTGAGATGTTCCATTAATCTTTTCATATATTCTAGGAGTGATGTGAGAGAAACCAGGAAAGATTTCTTCCTAGGTTTTATCAATGATGTTTGGGCTGAGCTATTTACAGCGATGGAGAGAGAAGACAGTATATGAGTCAAAGATGGTCTCTCTGGCACAACAGATGACAATGTGTCTCTCATCCACCGGTTTCTCAGAGTTCCTGTCTCCCCCATGAGCAACCAATGATACTCCAGGGCAATCAGGTTTAAACCAAACACTGACGATTAAATTATAGTGGAGATTTTTATATAGATGAGACAGAGCAACTCCTTAGTTCTCTATGATGTCAGACTCTAAACTATGGTCCTTTACGTTGACCTGAGGCTTGCCATGAGGACCCTGCATCGAGCCCTACCCTTGTGGTTTTCACTTATAAAAGCAGCATCAGTCATCTTTCCCTTAAAGATACAGACACAATGAAAGGCCCAGGTCACAAAAGCACATACTGAGGTTCAGAATCAAAATGAATTCCCACAAGGACCAGTCTCTGTGGACAACTTAAGGGTTCCATAATTTAGTTAGATGATAAAGGCATATCAGTAAAAATCAAAGTACTGTTGAGCCCTCACTGGAGTAGTAAGCCAAGACCGTAGATAAGACATAACACAGTTCAGCTCCTGAAACGTTAGACATCACCAGGGCTATCATCTCTAGGTATGACATTACCAATGAAAAATGCAGAAGCTTTGACTTCTGGTCCCCATCCAGCAGATTGTTCTTACCTTTGGTTCCATTGAAATGAAGCTGTGGGTACCTCGGCTTGAGAGAACAGACCTTTTAATTGTCCTGCTATGGTAAAAGTGATAGTAATCTTTCAGTGCGCCAATCTATAAATGGGGAGAAGAGAGAGAGAAAGAACAAGAGAAAATGAAAGAATTTTAATTTTTGAAAAAGTTTTTTGCCCTCTACTTAAAAAAGTCCTATAAATTATACAATTCCCTGCTATGCTGATATGTTACTTGAACCTTAGTGATCACCTTTCAAAAGAAGGACATCCGATATGAAATGGATGGAGTGTGTGTCCTTGAGGTAGGAACTGCGCACAACCCAAGATTATAATGGAGCAGCTTAGCCAGCCTGTATCTCCCTTTTTTAATGTTTAATTTATATGCAGCATTTTAAATAATTCTATATCAATCTATATGCACACTGTCTTCATGTAGGAAGTCTAAAATTCATCAAATAGCTATATGGTTATTAAAAAACATTCTGTCTCCCTTGCTTACAGAAATGGACTGCAAAACCTATTGTAAGATTATTTCTATCATTAACTTCACCAAAAAGAAGTCCTAGGCAATAGACCATTCACAAAGAAAATGTCACTCTGAATTTGTTTCCTACCTTCAGACGACAGAATCTGTTCCTATAGTGTTTATTCATTTGATGAGCTCAAAAAGGATAGGGGGTGGGGGAGGGGGGAAGGGAATGGAAATAAGAACTACTCACCCAACTTGACTGTTAATCTGGTTCCATAACATTGCTATTGCACCCTTGATCTGATGCCATCCTTACCTATCCTAGCCATTTTGTTTTCATGCTCTTGCCAAAGTTAGAATCATAAAGACCATTTCCTATAGACTTGTAAAATAAGTAACAGTATACCTTTAGAAACAGTCAGAACAAAAATAGCCCAACTTCCAATTCTAAATAGTAAACTGAAGACAGCTAGCTTGTACATTAGAAAGGAGACTGGATATGGAGTCAAGGAAGTTGAGATTCTATTCCTGATTCTGTTTCTGACTTGTCATCATGGGACTTTAGATGAAGGTGATGACAAAACCACCACTTTACATCTGTGTAGAATTCTCTACTATTCTCTTTCTTTCTTTGAGGCAATTGGGGTTAAGTGACTTGCCCAAGGTCACACAGTTCGTAAGTGTCTGAAGTCAAATTTGAACTCAGGTCCTCCTAACTCCAATGCTCTATCCACAGCACCACCTAGCTGACCCATCTCTACTATTTTCAAAGAGCTTTCGCATACATTATTTCATTGGCAGGCGCATTTCATATCAACCCGAGGATGTGGGCTGTAGGTCATGGATTTTTACCCCTATTTTAGGCAAGACACTCATTCCCAGAAGGTTAGCTCCCCCAGACTTTACATGTGTATATATATACACACACACACACACACACACACACATATATACGTATATATATATATACATATATATATATATATATATATACATATATATATATATATATACATATATATATATATATATATATACATATATATATATATATATATATATATATAATATATATATATATATATATGACAAGCAAACCTGTCTACTAAAGTAGTGGTGATTTATGTTTGTAGAAAAACTGCCAACACTAAAGAAAACACAAATCTTTCAAATGTAGACGTAGAAAATGTGACAGCTCAGGGAGGTCCTGTCCTGTGACCTGTCCAAAGTTACACAGCCAATTAGTGGTGAAGAAGGATTAGAACCAGGTGTGGGCTAAAGCCAGTTCTATTGTTGGTAGAGCCTATTGTTAAATGTTCAGTGTGAGCATTTATTCAGAAATTGGTAATTAAGAAAATTGATTTTTTTAATTGTTGGTTATCTAGACTGAAGAAAGTGTTACTGATGTAGGCTAAACTTTAGAGAGCATGTGAATGCTTTTTTCCCCCCTTCTGCAAAACCTGGTAGTTAAACACTTACCATCATACCCTTAATTAGAACCCACATCTTTTGAGCTCTAGTACTCTTAGCACTACATTAGATGGCCTTTTTTTAAAAGGCAAGACACTTAACCTCTTAAGTTCTCAGATTTCTTGTCTGTGAAATGAGAGGGCTGTGGGTTCACTGTTTGCCCCTTCCAACACTGACATGCTACAATTTAAAATCCAGCATTTTTTCTTCTTCTTGACCATTAACTACCCAGGATAAATAGGAAAAATGTGGAATTTCACAGCCCAGTTTAGTGATAGAAATTCAAAGTGATACAATATCACTTGCTGGTCCCCAAAAGATAACACCAGCAAAGAAAATTTTTTGATTATATTGTTCAAAAGTAGGAATCTCCTATAAAAAGATAAGTTACAGAGCCCTTTCTAACTTCTGCAAATACATATCAGCACCTCCTTTGCAACTTAAAGTCTTAGAGAGGAGTAAATTATGCTTTATGGATGTAATGGAGAACTATTGTGCTGGAAGAAATGACTAAAAGGATGGGTTTTGAGAAACTTGGGAGACATGTATGAACTGATGCAGAGTGAAATGAGAAGAACCAGGAGAACAATTTATACAGTAACAACAAATTTTAAAGACAAACATCTCGTAAAGAATTAAGAATTCTGATCAATGCAATGACCAATAACAATCCCAAAGGAACAGTACAGAAACATGCTACCCATCAGCTGAGAGGAAGATACAAACTGAGACAGATATTCTTTGGGACATGGCCAAAGTGGGGATTTTTTTTTCATGATTATGCATCATTGTCACAAAGCTTTTTTTGTTTTTGTTCCTGTTTTTCAATGGAGGAGGACGTGGAAAGGAGAGAAAATAAATGCTTGTTAAATTAAAGCATGAAATAAAATTTAAAAATAATGTCTTAGTTGTCAAAGGTTACTGAGAAGTTAAAGGAGTCATCCAGAGTCATGCAGGTAAATGAAATCATGTATGTAATTCACTTATCAAGTCTTGAACAGTTATACAAGGGGCAGATAGGTGGTACAGTGGATAGAGCACCAGCTCTGAAGTCAAGAAGACCTGAGTTCAAATCCAGCCTCAGACACTTGATAATTACTAGCTGTGTGATCCTGTGCAAGTCACTTAACTCCAATTGCCTCAAAAAACCCAAGCCCAACAACAATTATACAAATGTTAACTATTATTATCTCCAAAAGAGAATGTATTTCTTTGATTGTATCACCCTCTTTTTTATTTATATTCTAAACCACAATGATTATGTGCCCATGCATATGTGCTCACACACACACACACACACACACACACATACACACACACACACACACACACACACACACAGAGGATACAAGAGTAGAGATTTTGAAAGTCTCCCTAATTAATGACCTACCCATAGACAAAAATAGTCATTGATGCCACTTTAAGATTTTTTTATTTTAAAAATCATTTAGCAGTTGACAGAGAAATAGGAAGAATAGCATATGGAACTTCCCTTTTTTAAAAGGAGAAACTCTGCTTGACTTTGGACGGAAAAGCTGGTTGAGCTTTGAAAAAAGAGTCTGCATGAAATCTCCAACAAAGGAAGGAGTTGTAACAATTTAAACCTCTAATGTCAAAGATCTTGGGCACTGAGATAATAGCAACCCACAGGTACAGCCACCCAAGTATCCCACAGTATATTTCAAGGAGGGATTTACCGGGCAGTGCTGAGACGCCAAAGGGCTGAGCAGACTTTGAGAACATCCCCATAATCCTTTAAACGTTCAAAACCACAAGGAGACTAAGACTTCTGTCTATATAGCTTTGGTGGAGCACTCATGATTGTTTTCTAAGGATTTTTGTGTAAGCTGGGAAAAGTAAATATGGGAGAAGCTGGGAACAGGGAAAAGGGGAGAGAAGGATAAGAGTGAAACTGGAATGAGGAGAGAGAAGACCTCTGTTATTCCATGTGATAGAGTAAAAGCTGGAGTTCTCTTTGAGGGTAGAGAGCTTCTTATGAAAGCTTCTTACACGAAGAAGACTTACCTAAAGTTTATACTTTGACTTATCTGCAGATACATTTAAGGTCTGATCCATACTCTCACAAATAATACTTTTTCAATAAACAAATAAGTAAGCATTTATTAGTTACCTACTATGTACAGACACTACGTTAAGGATCCTAAGAATAAGAAGACAAAAATGAAACAGCCCCTGCCCTCAAGGAGATTATATTCTATCAGACACGACAAGATGTACATACATGTGTCTATGCATGTGTGTGCATATAATATGCATGTATATAGGTACATACACAGTGGATAGAGAGCTGATCTTGGAGATGGGAACACTTCAATTCAAATCCCCTCATTTTAGAGGTGAAGAAACTGAGGCACAGAGCTAGAATGACTTGCCCAAAGTTACAGAGATGAGTTGGATTTGAACTCTTCCTGATTCCAAGTTCAAGGCCTTACCCATCACACTATGCTTTTCTCTTAATCTTAGTCTAAAGACAACCCTGGCAGTGATGAGAAGTATGATTTGAAGGGAAGAGATAAAAGATGCAGAAAGACATCTTAGGAGGTAGCTCAGGTAAGGAAGACCTCTGTGACAATGATGGTAGCAACTGGAATCAAGAAGAGAGCTATCAATTGTTCACATGTCATTGTAACTGGATATGAAGAAGAAGAAGGAAGAGACCAATATAATACCAAAACTTTCCAACATGGCACATGCTGGTCCCATTGATAGAAAGAGGGGGAGTCAGGGGGAAGAACAGATTTCAGGGGAAGGTAATGTTTGGTTTAGGACACATTGAGTTTGACAGGCAGTGCGGTACAGTGAAAGGGGTCAGCAGACTTGGATTCAAATGCCTATTCCCTGTCTGACCTTAGGCAAATTATTTGATCTCCCTAGGTCTCCATTTCCCCATTTACAAAATAAGGAGATTGAATTGGATGGTCTCTGCATTCTTTTTTGCCTCTAGACCTATGATCCTATGAGCCTACCAAGTATTCAGGTAGAAATATGTAAGAAATATTGCTCTGGGCTTGGAAGAGAGATCAGGTCAATAGCATATAGATTTGGAAGATATGTCTAATGGGGACAGATAAGGCCGTGGGAATACAAGTGACTGCCAAGAAAAAGTTCAGAGGGAGAAAAGGGCCAAGGACAGAACTTTG